GACTGTCCCACTTTAAATAAGCGCCCCTGATTAGTGACAAACACAAGCTCATAGATGTAACCAGAGTAGTACTTTCCAGAGATCTGAATAATTGCTTCTTTGTCGTAGAGTATCATTTCCATCGGATTGCCACTATTTACACCAACCTCTGCTGTCCAGTTACTCTCGTACCTCAGCTGGAACCTAAACAAAAATGTCAATAATGTTCAAATAGTGCATATGCCATAAAGAATTACATGTACGATCTAAAATTCTATTATATAAATTAAATCACAAATGCTTCCCTGAGAGAAATAATTTGTAGTATCAATATATGACAATAAATTCTTTGTAACTCCAATTTCTGATCTCTACTTGACAAGGTTTTTAAATATACTTTTGTAACATGATTTTTCAAAGCCATAATTTAATATTTGAGGTGCTTGAGGATACTTACCCAGAGATATAGCCGCCCCAGTAGTTATTGTATTCCCAGACTCTGATACCAGTGATGCGACCCTCACTGGCAGTGGAAAATTCAATCCCACTGCCGTCCCCAGCAGCAGGTGAGTAAGAGAAAAGATCAGGTAAAGCTGAAAGAGGGAATAAGAGCTATTAAAACTGTCTTGCATGTATTTCAACTATGATTTAAAGGATTATTCAAGAAAATGAACATCAGCGCTGAAGTTACCTAAACTTATAAAGTAAGCTGTCTTTTGTTCACATTGTATCTGTTTATCTTGGACCTTGACTTCTGACTGACTATTGTAATTATGCCTGAGTTGCTATTTTTATCTATTAATTTATTTATTAAAAAAAAATGTTTTACTTAGTTGCTTACTTTTTTGAGCTGAACAATTGTATCAGACATGTGGTAATACTCACGCGCTGCCATGCCCAAGGCATAAACTGCAGAGAGAATCAGGAAAAACTGCAACATTTTGGAATAAATTGCTGTCCCGCACATTCAAGGAATCTAAGGAAATCATTGTATCTGATTGTAATATCAAATTAGAGTTATTCTGGATTTGTGAATTTCATGATGTTTCTGATACAAACACTTTTAGATGCAGAGCAAATCATGTAACATTCAAATCAGTGGCAATTAATAAACCACTTTTGATGATTTATATGATGAAAATGACTAAACTGCAATTAATTATAATTAATTTGGTAAAATTTAACAGACTGCTAAATGATTACTAAATGATTAACATGATGCTAAATACATATACACAAGTGCTCATCTATAACAAGGGGGAAAATATCATAGCATTTACAAAATCAACAACAACAACAAACAGATGTGATATATATGAATAAAGATCTAGTATTTCCATTACCTGTAGACAGGTATGTGGTTGATAGTTGAAGAGACTAGTGTGTTGACTAAACCTGCTCGTACACTTTTCTGCTCATCAGACTTTTGTTATTGGTTGAACAATGTCATCTGCTTTCTTACACTCCTCAGATGGAATGTTTTAGAGCTCACAACTATGGCATGATTGGCATCAAAATATCACAGCTACCAACTTTCAGATTTAAAGGATCATTTTATAAACTATAGATTAACTATCAGAACTTAATTCAAAATATCTGAATTGTGTGCCAAATTTTATTCTACTGTTTAAAGGGGTCATATGATGCGATTTAAATTTTTCCTTTCTCTTTGGAGTGTTTGTAATATTCAAATCAGTGGCAATTAATAAACCACTTTTGATGATTTATATGATGAAAATGACTAAACTGCAATTAATTATAATTAATTTGGTAAAATTTAACAGACTGCTAAATGATTACTAAATGATTAACATGATGCTAAATACATATACACAAGTGCTCATCTATAACAAGGGGGAAAATATCATAGCATTTACAAAATCAACAACAACAACAAACAGATGTGATATATATGAATAAAGATCTAGTATTTCCATTACCTGTAGACAGGTATGTGGTTGATAGTTGAAGAGACTAGTGTGTTGACTAAACCTGCTCGTACACTTTTCTGCTCATCAGACTTTTGTTATCGGTTGAACAATGTCTTCTGCTTTCTTACACTCCTCAGATGGAATGTTTTAGAGCTCACAACTATGGCATGATTGGCATCAAAATATCACAGCTACCAACTTTCAGATTTAAAGGATCATTTTATAAACTATAGATTAACTATCAGAACTTAATTCAAAATATCTGAATTGTGTGCCAAATTTTATTCTACTGTTTAAAGGGGTCATATGATGCGATTTAAATTTTTCCTTTCTCTTTGGAGTGTTACAAGCTCTTGGTGCATAAAGAAGATCTGTAAAGTTGCAAAGACTAAAGTCTCAAATCCAAAGAGATATTCTTTATAAAAGTTAAAAGTCAACCACGCCTACCTAAAACGGCTCATTCTAACATGCCCCCACATGTCTACGTCACGATGTGGGAAGATTTGCATAACGCCGCCCAAATGTTCACGCAAAGAAAGAAGGCGTAACTTTTATTCTCGCTGTAGTATTGTTGTTGCTGCCGCCGTCATCTCGTGAAGGCGCTGTGTGTTTTGTTGTGAACGCGAAACTACTTTGTTTGGCCTTCCAAAAGAGGACGATAGCCGCTTCGTCATGCC